TCTCTTCATCCTCTGACATGGGAGCTGGCTCGGAGCTCGTCTGCCTGGCTGTGTGTTTCCTGGACGGGGTCGCCTTTAACAGCTGCTTTTTGTATGTCTGCTTCTGTCTCCTTGAACCCCAGTCGGCCTCAGCAGATGGCCGCTCACACTGAGCCTGGTTCTGCTGCTGCTTTATTCCTGTTAAAAGGGAGTTTTTCCTCTCCACTGTCACTACAAGCATGCTTAGTGTGAGGGATTGTATTCAAGTCAATGAGTCGATGCAATCAACTGGTTTTCCTTAGATAGAAACTTTGAATCGGTTTGATTGTAAAATCTGGGGAGCTGTAAAGTGCCTTAAGATGACGTGTTGTGAACTGGCGCTATAGAAATAAACTGAATTGAATTTAATATTGGCAGTAATGTTTGGGTGTTTGAGGGGGGGCATGGTGGGGGCCGTAAATTGCTGGACGGGTGAGTTTATCCCATTTTGGGGTCTGGTTGGAGGTCAGATAAACACATTTCTGTAATAAATCACAAAGCAAAGCTGAATAAAGTCTTTTACGAATTGTACCAAGCAAAGCAAAAGTCGTTATTATAGTAATTACCCACTTGTAAAATAAAGTGTTGGGATCTGGAGGTATGTCCACTTTTCTCCACCAGAGGGCGCACAAGATCTCCTGGGAGCATGAACTGACCTCAACACCTGTCTTCTATCTGCTCATCAGGAGGCTCCTACTTAAGGAGGCGGAGACTGACACTCCAGTGCCAGAGTGTTGGCCAGTAATGGTACAGCTAGACCTGAGCCAACCTGCCTGATCTTTTCTCTGAGTTTTTGTGTGATACTGCCTGATCCAGTTTATTTCTCTCTCTCTGCCTACAGAACCAGATCTGTCAGAAAACCTGAAACCTGGAAGTAACTTAGTTCTGGAATCTGCCTGCCTGCATTGGAAGTGACTCTGTTCTGGTATCAGCCTCAGCCCTCTGCCTGCCGACAAACCTCTGGACCCTCTGGGTTCCCACCTCCTGCTGATATATTCAGTCCCCGAAGCAGGTATTGACTCAATCATCAGACAAACTACTGGATCCCTGGAAATCGTGGAAATAGTGGTGATCCCCCCGTGACCAGTTGGACCAACCCAGTTCCAGTGCACAATTGTAAAACTTGTGAATAAACCTTTGAACTTTTTCTCTGTCTCCAGAGTTTTTTTGCATGTGGGTTAGGCATCTTAATCCCAACATGACATAAAGTGTGCTTGGCTTCTCCTTGAAACTCAGACAACAGGTCTTACAGCTTCACAGCTAAATAGAAACCTTATTAACCTTCAGACATTTTCCGACTTTCTGCTTTACGACATAGCAAACGGAGACTCTGGCAGTGAGCTGTTATCACAGCACCTGCTGACTGCCAGCTAGAAATAATAAATTTCCTCTCCAAACAGATTTGCTGCACTTAAACACGAAAGGCAGGAAAATTATCCATCTTCTGAAAACCATAAAATGTTTGAGAACAATCTTAGTTCCTAACAGTCTTCTACAGTAGAATGCTGGAGAAAGAGCGCCCCACCTGGCTGAAGACCCTAACAGTGAGCAAAAAGGTTGTGAAGACACAGGCAGATGTGAAAAACCTGTTGACTGGCAGCTAAATGTCATTAAATGATGAGCGAGTGAAACCGAAACGGCTGAAAATGGAGCGGATTGTGGAGGTTACTCTAGTTACTGGAAAATGTGGCCAGAGATACAGTGGAGATAAAGAGCAGGCAGCTTCAGGCCTGAACTCGCTGATTGCGTACAATTTTTAAATCTCTGATCTGATTTTTATAGAGAGAGTATAGAGAGGCTCCGACTGGGCAGGGTCAGCAGATCTGTGCAGATTTTTTTTCACTTATGTCTCTTTGCTATACAAAAATTTACTTAAATAAAATTTGACTTGGAAACATTATGAGAAGTTATTTAAAAAAT